TCACATTTTAAACATCCTAATTATTTTATAAATAAAGGAAAATCTAATCTATATATAGATTGTACGGTACTTCATATTTAATAAGACGAGGGACTTTGTTGTGACTGGCTTGTGTTTTTCTTTCTACACAAAGATTTAACCGCTCGTTGAGTTGACTTTTGTTTTCCTGTTTCAGTGTGCGTGACCTTCCTGGGGAAGTTTTATCAGTTGCTGAAGGACAAGGATGTAAAGTTTACCAGCGCAGACATCGAGAAGGCGCTCACGGCGAGCTGCAAAGACACCAAAGGCAAAGAAAATCGCTTTGTGAGTAAAACACGTTTACATGTTTCTGGAAGCTGGAGGTGGTTGGATCGTTTAAAATGAAGCTGAGCTGGAGATTCAACATGTCAGAACAGGTGTGTGTGAATGAGAGTGAGGAGATGACATGTTAGAGAGGCTGAGATGGTTTGGATGTGTGCAGAGGAGGGATGGTGGAAATGTTTAAGGTGGAGCCCTCAGAGAAGATTCATGGATGTAGTGAAGGAGGATGTGCCGAGATGGAGGCAGATGGTCCTCTGAGGTTTTGCGGCACAAGCTACAGAAGCTTCCTGTCCCCCAACCATAATCCTGGTCAGTTAAACGAATTATTCAAATTTTATCACCATGGTTTGATGTCACCTGCCACAGCCCGGGTGTCAGGATCAGGATGTGGAAAGTGTCTGTGAGCTGAATCTTTTTTGCTGGTTTTAGACTTTCAGACTAGTTTTCTCCTGTTTAAACACCCAGACAGTGTAAGTCAGGGGCGTCCAAACTTTTTTCACTGAGGGCCACATACATAAAAATATAGGAGGGGCCACTTACTATAAATTAGTTATATAACCTTAAATTTACTGTATTAAAGTTAGAAAAATCACTTAAAAGTGGTCGAATATGTTATATTGTTGAATATAATTAAAGACAAAACTGCCTTCATCACAGCTTTACATAAATGGATCTTTATTGATTTATTCAGAAAAAGCTTTGGTAGCTCATTCTCAGAACAGCCTCAGAAGATTTACAGCACAGAGAGAAAACAATAAACGTCTATTAACGTCCGTTTGAAACCGTTATCAACATTAACAGACTGAACTGGAGTTAATAACAGGCGTCCGTATAATTTTAGTAAATTCTTCTGGTGAGTATCAGCTGCGCTGGGTTTGTAAATCGGGCCGTCCAGCCGTGGTGCTGATCCGACGCCACTCGTGCCAAAAATCTGGACAAATGTCACTTGATCAAGGAGCAAATCTGCATCAGATGAGATCAGCTGACTGCGTGTGCGTGCGCTGTGCACAGCGGTGTGTACTCTGTGTGTTCACAAGAAAAATGCATATAAGAAAGTGGTGCACAAAAGCAGAGTAGTGACAGAATTGATGTGCATTATTGATATTTAAAGCATGTGCACATGCATGCTTATTAACACACGGGTACTGTGGGATATATTTTTAAAGCGCTCGTGCTCTCGTCCACTCCCTGCAAAAAAATTAGCAGCTGTGCGGCGTCTGTGGCACAGCTTTATCAGACTGTTGCAGTTTAATGTTGGCTGACGAGTCTTCAGTGCGTTGCACGACTGGATTTCTGGACACGCTGACGTCGTTGAAGTCCTGCACTTTTTCCACATTATTTCGGTGACTTTAACGAGGCCGTGTTTTATGAGGTCTCCATCTGAAAAAGGCTCGCCATGTCTCGCGATGAGTTGGGCGACCTCATAGCTGCTATTGGAGCCTTTTCTTGGACCTTTTGAGCACGAAATAAATACTGTTGCTGACCCTGCAGGAGAGCTGCTGTCGCTCAGCACCAGTGTCGGAGGCCTGATGTTTGGTTTCATAATGACGTCGTACATTATACTCTTTCATAACTGCCACAGTTTCAGTGCAGATTTATGAAATTACTTGTGGGCCAATTAAAAATGGATCGCGGGCCGCAGTTGGTCCGCGGGCCGGAGTTTGGACACCCCTGGTGTAAGTGAATGTGATCTCAGTTTATATGAAAATGTTTGAGTTCAGTCATGTGTTTGGGCAGCTTGCCACCACTAGGGGGTGCAGCGCTGCTCCCTGGGACAGAGACCTTCCTGTGTTTGGTTTTTGTAAATGGACTCTTATGATGAACCGTTTGACGTTTTCTATTTCAGCACATGACGCAGGCCAGAGTCCAGCAGAGCGAACGAAGCCGCTCGTGTTTCATTCGTCTTTAACTTTTTGATTTCTCCTCCCTGTTCTGTGTTCAGTGTTACTACATCGGTGCAACGAGCGACGCGGCAACCAAGATGATCAACGAGGTTTCCAAACCGCTCAGCTACCACGTCCCCGTGGAGAAGATCTGCGAGAAGCTCAAGAAGAAGGACGGCCAGATCTGCGAGCTGAAATACGGTGAGGAGGGAAAGAGTGCGGATCTTCTCGCGTAACAAACGGCGTGGGGTCGTGTGTCGGTGCAGCTCAGTGCGAGTGATGAAGCACAAACACAAAGTGTTTCGGCCTAAAACTCAGTTCCTTCATCACGTATCACAAAGAGGGCGTCACACTGACAAAAAGCATTGTTTGTAATTTCATCCCAAACTCAGAGGTTTTTGTGCATTTGGGGAAAAACATTCGTCCAGTCTGAACATGATGTACATTATATAAACAAAAAACAGGTCATTAGATGTATTATTATTAATGCTCCTTTGTTGTTTGAAGGTTGAGCCCCACAGTTCAGGAAGTCAACAACAATAATAAAAAACAATAATAGTAGCTTAGCTGGTGTTTTATTTATAGAATTATATTTTATTTATAAACCAGCTTTAAGAAAATGTCCTTTGTTTGATGCACATGAAATCATCAATTTAGCTGAGTACTGACCCTTCAAAATAAGAGCGGTGAGTGTCTGAGATGATTTAAAAACGGCTGACGTGAATAAACTGTCGCTCACAGAGACGGCACAGCTGCTCGTAGACGACACGTGGACTCATGAAGATCCACATGAATCAGCCGTGTTCTGATTATTTCAGTCTTATTGATTCTTGTTTGCTTTCATGCAGATAAACAGTTGGACCTGACCTCAGTGGACCTGAAAAAGCTTAAAGTGAAGGACCTGAAGAAGATCCTGGAGGATTGGGGCGAGTCGTGCAAGGGCTGCGCCGAAAAGTCCGACTTCATCCGCAAAATCACAGAGCTGATGCCCAAGTACGCGCCGGCAGCCGCCAACGCACGGACAGACCTGTAAAAACA